GGGCAAGTGCTGTGAGCGAGCACCTATGAAGGCCGGCACGGCACACGAGGGGGTGGGTGGGTGGCCAGCACCATGCCCGGCCGCCTTTGTCTCAACCAGTGGCGATGTTTACACACCACACTAGGTACTCATTTTAGGCTGAGTCGGAGGCCCAGGACCGATTCAAATAATCGTCACTGGTGTGGGCCGTGAGTGGGAATCGAACCCGGGTCACCAGTTTTGTAGCGCAGCGCGCTAACAACTACACTACCACTCCTCCTAATACAGACACACACATGCATACACAAACACATTGTATATGTGTTATGCATCTATACAATTCCATACACTGTTTAATCCTTAAACCTAAAAGGAATCGGTGGGAGGGATGATAGGGGGTGTGGTTGGCCTGCGAGGAAGGGTGGGTTACGGGTGGAAGAGGGGTGTATTGGGATGGGTATGACATCGTTGTGTAACTGAAACCCAGTTGTAGATCGGAGATTTTCTACTGCATCGAATTTTCACTCTCTCATACACACAACACACACGCACACACAATAACACACCCACGTGTTTACACCAGTCTAGGTCCTCAAGATTAGTTCTCAGCCTCAAGGTCAGGCCCGAGGACATGTTCCCAGATCTCTCAGCCTTGGCCTGCGTCGCCACGGATGTCCCACGGTGGGAGGACATTGAGGGAGGACTGGCTGCCCCTATAAATCTCCACGAAATGATAGTATCCCACTTCGTTGAGCTGCTATCGTTTGTGGCCAGATCGCTTCTGAAAAAGAGCTACATAGCTCAGTGAGCCTGACCTGGTAATATTAACAAAAAATAGCGTATAGTTTACTTTGGTGTGGTTCCAACCTGGTCACGTGGAATTTATCAAAATTATAACGCTCATTGAATGTCTAAATAACGACTGACTTCTAAAAATATATATTGAACAAAAATACCGCAAAACCTTTTTTTCTCTCACGATATTAATTTTTTAGGAGGTTAATTAGCTGCCCACAAATTTTCAATATTGGGTCACAGAGCTTGGGCACATTTGGTGGTACTGGTTGTGGCTGCGTTGCCACTTAGCTCTGGCTTATGGCTCCTGCGCGCTGAAACTACACGTGCTGCATATTCTGAGGCATTTTGTTGCACGAATGATGCCATTTAAAAATATAAACATTGTTATTTCTCAATATCTCACTTGTGATTCAAATTTACCGAAATGCAACCAGCCAAGAGGATCCAGCCTTGACACGGGCCTCAAGATAATTGGCTTCCGGCCTAGGCCTCAAGGGTCCCAGCCTTGAATCCAAGACTCGTTAATACTACCCGTTGGCATCCACACAAACCAAATCTGTCCCAGAAACCAGGCCGATCCAGCCAGCACCATCGTACAAATGGGGCTGTGAACTGGGATACATGACGTCACTGTAATCATCTCGTTGAGTATTTATATAATTATGTTATTCACTTGATTGTTTTGCCTTTTTAATTCTAAAAATGAGAATAGGTTTTACCCTTTCTGGCAATAAAACAGGTGTTAAGATGTTCAAACACGAAATAGATAACCTTTTGCAAGGTATCAAGTCCGCACTAACCACACATACTTGTGGCAAAACATGCAAACAAACACGCTTTGATAATCAATTAATTTCACCTTTTTGGATACTGCCAAAAAGGTCCAATACTATTCATTCTTATTTTCGAATCCTCACCAACCATGATCAACCTCACTGCTGGACAAAGCCCTGCCCAAACCACTATCATCTCCCACGCTCCTGCTTTTTATAACGATCAACCCAGCACCTGCACACCACCTGAAACAATCAATCCATACCCGTGGAGGACATCATTTCGGACGCGTTCCATCCCTTAGCTCACACTCCCTTATTATTGTTGACCATAAGCCTCTCTACCTCCCTCACTGGCTCTGTCCACCTAACGTTGTGGTCAGGGTGTTTGTGGCAGGGTGGAGGAATCCTGTCGATGTCACCAGCGCAGAGTGATGAGATCACCTTATTAGGAAGTCACTGGAGCCCATGCACTTTTACATCTAGATTGAAAACTCATTTCTTTAGAACTGCATTTTTTCGCGCTTAGTTTGTTGTCCATCCCCGCACCTCCGATTAGCACGGTTGGCTACGTACGGTGCGAAAGAAGTTAAAAAAAAGCGTTGATACATACCTGCAAGAATACAACCATGTGTAGTCTCACATTACAAAGGCAGAACGCAAGGTGCCAGGATAACCAGTTCAAGGACACGATGCGATCAGCGAGGGTGATTATTGCGCATGCGCAGACTGGCTCTCTGGATGCGCACCCCAGCCTCACGTGGTATTGATGGGTCAGGGCTATCAGTCCCCAGTAGGGAGTCCACCACCCCCTTGGCGAGCGGGTGACTACGTTCGCCCTTTTTGCCTTTGCTCCGTCAGCGGTGGTTCCAACCCCAGACTTTGACGGGCGACAGAGGCTTGACCACGAGTCTGGCACTCCACAATTGAACTGATAAAAGATACCGACTCCAGTGATGGGTCCTGCAGTAGCTAACCACCTCCCCGCTGCAACCCGCATTCCTTTGATGCATCCCATTTGTCAAGTTTCCTCCTGGAACAAAGAAATAATAACCAACTGGCACATTCTCACGAGCAAGCCGCGGTAGTAATGAGAATGTGGTAGAATGTGACATCATCTGCACCACCTTTCCCCACGTTGTGAGCTCTCAGGAGACTCACTTTGCCGTTCAGACAAATGCAGGCAAACTAACGAGGTCTGGTGACAAATTCTCATCCCAAAATGCTTCCGGGGAAAGGTCATATAAAGGTCCGCTAAAAAGTAGTTCCTCCAGTTGGCTCACTCAGTCCATTGGCAGGACGTTGGAGCATCTTTTGGCTCGGCTTTTATTGGTCAGGCGTGAATGCAGAGGCGTCTAATTCCCCTATCCAAGAACGAGGCCATGCGGCCATCTCTGGTCACGATTTCAGCGTCGGGCCACTGACGCCCAGCGTGGCGGGTTTAAAGTGCATACTCGTGGTGGTAGACTACGCCACAAGGGGCTCCCGGAGGTGGTGGCGTCACCGAGCGGATAACGTCCTGTAAGTTGGAAGCTTTTCTTTCTGTCATAGAACAGTGGGCAGCGGCAGGATAAATATTTCGGTGCGACGGGGCCAGCAACACATCAGTGGGGAAGGATGCGGAGTGAGGATGGCACCATGACCCCAGTGCCGAATTAAGCTAGTGCGGGGCCTGTAGCATATGTTATAAAGGGGCCCTAGATTGAAACAAAAAATTTAACACGCATTTTTAACTTGCATAGTAAAGTAATTGTATTTTCATCATGGGACCTCCTTTGCCAGTACCAAAATATGATAATTGGTTTTCCCCTTTTTCCTGGCAACAAAACAGGTGTTAAGATGTTAAAACACCAAACTGAAACCTTTTACAAGGAATCATACTCTGATAATATACAGCATGCATTGTCCTTGAAACACCTGTTTTGTTGCCAGAAAAAAGGGGAAAAACCTATTATCATATTTTGGTGCTGGCAAAGGAGATCCCATGATGTAGATGCTAACCCCGACATCTCATTACTCTGATAGTGGCATTCTCTTTGGGCTGTGTACGCCTTTTGGCGTCCTCTGGTCTAACACCGTTTTGAGACGAGGCTCCAAAGAAAGCTGTCTCTGGTGTGGACCAATCAGTTTCAAGGACAATGCCTTTATTATCAGAGTATGTTTTTTCGTTTGCATTCAGACCACAAGCATTGTGGTAATACAGACATGATTCCTTTTAGAAGGTTTCAGTTTGGTGTTTTAACATCTTAAGACCTGTTTTGTTGCCAGAAAAAAGGGGAAAACCCTATTATCATCATTGTATTTTTTCACGTGCTTTACAGCCAGATAATACAACAAAAATCGATAACCTTAAACACCCAGTCGTTCATAAAAATCGAAGGCAGTATAGTACTATAGTAATAGAGCAAGTGCAGAATCACTGAACCGGAATTGATAGCTTGAAAGCATTTAGCACGGGGCCCGTAGCTACTACACATGTAGTAGCTCCAAGTGTAGTATCTACTACATGTGTAGTAGCTACTACATGTGTAGTTACTACTACTACATGTGTAGCTACTTTTGCTATTAGGACAATCTGGCACTGCTTGCTCCGGGGCATCAACACGTCTAGCTTCTACCTCTGGGCTGGCACCTTTAGTAAATACTATGTACATTTATGAAGGCTCAACTGTTATAAGCTCGGTTATCGTGAGTGTGGAGTATGCTGGTCAGAGGCCATGTTCCTTCACTCGATGAAACAATGCCGAGATGACATGGTGATGTGACTATGGCCTTTCCCTTCTCAGGTGGCCACCGTCCGGGCAAAAAAAAAACTGTCGTCATGCATTCACATGAGGCACTTGACAGCCAGCTGACACTATGGGTTTACCCCTTGTGGTTGATCTGCTCCCGAGTGCTATCTGTGTGTCTGGTTATTAGCCACGCTCGTAACATATCCCTGCTTTAGTTTTGTACAACCCCCTGCAAAACTCTCCCTTCCCACGTAGTATGCTTGTTACCTTTCGATTTAAAGCTTTCGTGACTGCAAGGATTCATCTCCTTTGGTTCTTTCGGTAAGGTCACAATCCCTCAGCTATTTGCACAAGCTAATCCCTGAGCTATTTCAATGCTAAATTACTAGTTGCCTCTGTGGATGTGTAGGTTTTGACTTTAACATAGCCATTCCTGTGGCCAGTCACAAGCTAATCCTTCAGCTATTTGATATGCAAACCCCTTTGTCAAGGTGCCTCACTTCTCCCAACCAGCTAAAAAGTCGCTACGAATCTTAGCAGCGTTCATTGAAGCTCTGTCGTCCCGACAGGTCTGTACCTTTCACCTGAAGACGGCCGCTTGCGTTGTGGCCGAAACGTCGTGAGAATTTTATCGTGTTATTTTATTATTTTATTCTCATTCTACGTGACCTTACCGAAAGAACCAAAGAAGATGCTTGCTACCATTGAATGAAAAACAAGACGGGCCGCTTAGCTCCATGGGCTTTAACCTGAAATCAACTCAATGGCTGAGATGTGTTTTGTCCATATGCTGTGCACGTACAAAAGTTATCGGACGGCCCACGAACTTATAATAATCTCCAACAAGCTGACTGGATTCTTAACGACGCTGGAGAGGCCTGTAACCTCATGCCACTCCCACCACCGCCTCCCACCACCACCTCCAAAAGGAAAATCAACCTCCGCCCTTCATTCTTGCCAGCTCCCACCCTCCATCCTAGCCTCCTCCCCCCGCACCTTAAAAATGTGTTTCACTTCGCAGACGAACAAGCTTTCCATCTGCGCTCAGCGGGAGAGAGAGAGAGAGAGAGGCGGGCAGAAAGCTACAGGCGGAGATAAAGCAAACGGAATAAGCGAGGCGAGGGGATAGGGGGAAGACGAGACGTGTCCCAAATTTGTCGCTGTGAGGAATGGAAGAAAGGAGATATCGCGTGAAGAGAGGCGCAATGGAGTGAGAGAGAGAGAGAGAGAGGGGGGGGTGGGAAGAGAGAGCGAGAGAAAGGAAAAAAAAACTACGTCGTACAAAGAGTGGCATCACAATGCATGGAAGGAAAACACCGGGAAGGAGAATATACGAATGAATCGAGAAGACGCGAGGGGGCTTTAAACATTTGTAAAGAACAGAGTGAGAGCAAGAGAGCGATTAATGGGAACGAATACCATGGATGGATAACGATTGCGAAGCCGCAGTGCGATCAATTGCAGTCTCTTCGTCAGCTCGGACGGTCGGTTCAAGATTGACGACGCGACTTTGATCGTTTTCTACGTTTATATTACGAGCGTTATTATTATTTTCTTCTTCCGATTATCATTCCGTAAACAAGGTCTTCGATCTACCGCCTACTTGAGTAAACTGAAGCGCAGCTTGGAGGAATTCTTCCACACACCCCCCGCCCGCCCCCCGCGCCCCCAAATGGGACTTCATTGGACTGACCCACGCTTCTGACACCACGTCCGACTTTGGTAGGCACATGAGCACACACACACACACCTCTCAGAACTTACTCTATTCTTGTTATTGCCAGCGCTATTTGCGAACGGTTATGTCCTGCTTGTAAGGTAATCTTATATACTTGTGACAATAAACACTGGAGCCTTGTCCGTTGTGCAGGTCTTTGGAAATTGCAATTCAGTAACAAGCCTGACCCCTCTCTCTCTCTGTGTGACGGTCAAGTCAACGTGGTTCGAAATGTTGCATGTGGATATGGTTTACTTGTAGGGAGCCAACTCCAGATCCTCAGCTGAACGGATTTTCTAATATTTGTCTTGCCAAATGGCCATTTGTGTTTGGTGAATGTGGTTATGTATGCGTGTTAGGATTGCTATAATGTTGAAATGTTTGGAATGTTACCCGCATGGGCATGTGCCTCGATGCTTTGCATTATCGTCGTAATACGTTATGTTGAAAACTAAACATTGATCAGCCGATATTGAATGACAATATTAATTATCGATATTGAAGTTAAAGTGAAGGTGCACGTAGCCTTTATATTTAAAAAAAATGCTCAACTCACTTACACCGTGGTGATTTTTTAAGGCTGTTTTATCACGATGCAGTGTGCTCCACTAACCAGTGGGAAGGTGTCATCACATTTTGACTTAAAAGTCGTCCTACCGTTAGCACAACTATACATTAACGTGTACAAGCTACACGTCAAGACCCTTCGCACTGATCATTGCGATTGGCGTAGTTGTAGTCGTAGTATAATGGGAATGTTTAAAAGCTTGCAGTGTCTACCTTGTATGCATGCATCGTAGAATCGCCATGGACACGCGTGGAAAGTAAATTACACTCAAGTGCAAATTCTGCTTTGGTAGAGAAATATTGCAGTGTGTTGTTACATCGCACGGGCGGGTATTTTAAGGTCAAACGGCACAAATAACAAAAACACAATTGCTTAACTTTGCAGGCGGTAACAACAGTTTGCTGCTGCGTTAATTCCAGAAAACATGTCAATCAGTGCCGGATTATCCCAGTAGCACAAGTAGCCAAATGTGTAGTAGCTACTACACATGAAGCTACGGGCCCCGCACTTTCAAGGGCCCCGCGCTGAACGATTTCAAGCTATCAATGCCGGTTCAGTGATTCTGCACTTGCTCTATCACTATAGTACTATACCGCCTTCGACTTTTATGAACGACTGAGTGTTTAAGGTTAGCGATTTGTAGTATTATCTGGCCGTAAAGCAAATGAAAAAATACAATTACTTTACTATGCAAGTTACACATTTGTGTTTTAATATTTACGTATTTTTTTAAATTTGGGGTTCTTTATAACACGTGCTACAGGCCCCGCACTAGCTGAATCTGGCACTGATGTCAATGCAATCGGGGTCGTAACCGTGCGAGTCACGATTACGAATCAATAGTATGTAGATTACGAATCAATAGTATGTAGATTACGAATAAATAGTATGCAGATTACGAATCAATAGTATGATTCGTAATCGTTGTCTGCGTCGGGTGAATGAGGGTGTACAACATACATTTTACCTACGTGATCTGACCCAAAATCTATTGTGAATATCGTCACATTGTGTCGTTATCTCTTTATAATCTTGTAACTCCATTTATCTGCGTATGCGCTGCTTTTTTTGCCCAAAATAATATAATCTGTTTCGTTTTTGTTTTTATCTCCGTGAGCTCTGAAAAAGATGTGTTAAAAAGGACATAGCGTACTTCTATAGTACGGACCAATCTTACGTATGTATATATCGATATGTGCTCTCTAGCGTTCAACGCCTGCACACCTAAACGTGCTAACGTGCAACAACTGCCCATTCAATGCAACTAAGTGCTTTTTTTCTTTTTATAACGCAGATATGTTGTGCATTTGGCGCACACAACACGCCGAATGAATATGTCAAATGTACAAGCAACATATGCATTGAAAGATATTCTCTTCAAACAGACGTGTGTGACAGTTTTACCATCAGCCAAAATATGGTAACGTCACACATGCATGGATATATATATGTGTATACGAACGTAACACGCTTGCATTTAACTACTGAGCACATTGCGATATGCACCTCCACTGAGCATGGTTGGCGACGTACGGTGCGAAAGAAGTTCAACGTACAATATAATGTTACTGCATTGCAGTTTCAAAAATGTAAAATATACATGTGGGAAGCGTGTATTTGATTACAATGCTTGCACGTTGGATATGTTTTTGATTAACTAATACCAATCGTTTGGCTGATAGGCGACATTCACAGAGCTATAAATCCGTACGGTTTACCCAGTATTCTTGTACGGGGTAATTGAGTTTTGCAGGTCCTTACGGCGCACAGCCGTTTCAATACGGGCAAGAAAAATGTGTCTATTTGTTTGTGTTTCTCCCTTGTGATGGGACTTTTGTAGGATGAACGTTGCAGTTTATAAGGGGCAGGGGGTTGACCAATAAGGTCTGGATTTGTCTGTAATAAGGTAGGGCACTGATAAGGGGTTGACATGTATGCATTCAAGATCGGTTTTTTTCTATACGAATGTAATGCAGTATTTTCCCAATGTAAATTATTGCTCGCCAATAATACACTGATCATCCATGTACTCCCCCCCCCCCGACCCCCCCAAATTTAAATAACACTTCTTTCAGAAACGAGTTAACATAGAATCGTCCAAACTTATACATCGCTAGCACACGCTAACAAAACTCAACACACACATCGGCAATATTTAAAATACGGTATTGTCGTAAATTGTCACCGGGGCAAAGATTGCTTGAGACTGTTTAGACATTACTATACTACCACAGTGCGCTTTGCATGTTAATTGTTTAGAGCAGGTGAGGGTGTGTGGTAAACACTTTTAACATCGGCGCGCACACAAAGACAAAGATCCCTCCACTCTCCGTATAGCCTTAACAGACTGTCGGGGCAAGTGCTGTTAGCGAGCACCTATTAAGGTCCGGGGAACGACACGCGAGGGCGAGTGCACACAGACATGCACGTACACGAACACGTGTTTTTTTAAATAATAATAATTTGCGAATATAAAACTTAGCGCAATATGAAGACGGACCCGAAGTTCACGCTTGATTTTTGTAAGCAGAAAAAGGCACCACCAGCAAGGAAGGGACATTTATAATTAACAGCTTGACAGTACAGGAAGCAAGAATACCCACCTAACACACGGACGGGCATGATCGAGGTTACGATCGAGCTTGATGTAATCTGTAAGCATCTTCTGCAAAGGCTGGAAAGCTAACCTGGAATGTGGCAACAATTATCCATCGTCTACTTATATAACTAATGTGCGTATGTATGTTCAACTTCGTTCACACCGTACGTAGCCGGTCACGCTAATCGGAGGTGCAGGGGGAAGCACAACAAACTATGGGTCTCTGTGTGAGTCGTTTATGGATCTCTGTGAGTCTATGGATATCTGTGAGTCCATGGGTATCTGTGTGAATCTATGGGTCTCTGTGTGAGTCGTCTATGGATCTCTGTGTGAGTCTGTAGGTCTCTGTGTGTCTGTAGGTCTCTGTGTGAGTCTATGAATCTCTATGTGAGTCCATCGGTCTCTGTGTGAGTCTATGGGTCTCTGTGTGAGTCTATGGATCACTTTGTGAATCCATGGCTCTCTGTGTGAGTCCATCGGTCTCTGTGTGAATCTGTGGGTCTCTGTGTGAATCTATGGTCTCTGTGTGAGTCGTCTATGGATCTCTGTGAGTCTATAGGTCTCTGTTTGAGTCTATGGGTCTCTGCGTGAGTCTATGGGTCTCTGTTTGAGTCTATGGGTCTCTGCGTGAGTCTATGGGTCTCTGTGTGAGTCTGTGGGTTTCTGTGTGTGTCTATGGATCTCTGTTTGAGTCTATGGGTATCTGCTTGAGACAACGGGTCTCTGTGTGAGTCTATGGGTCTCTGTTTGAGTCTATGGGTCTCTGTTTGACTCTATGGTTCTCTGTTTGAGTCTATGGGTCTCTGTTTGAGTCTATGGGTCTCTGTGTGAGTCTATGGGTCTCTGTTTGAGTCTATGGGTCTCTGTTTGAGTCTATGGGTCTCTGTTTGAGTCTATGGGTCTCTGTTTGAGTCTATGGGTATCTGTTTAAGTCTATGGGTCTCTGTGTGAGTCTATGGGTCTCTGTGTGAGTCTGTGGGTTTCTGTGTGTGTCTGTGGGTCTCTGTTTGAGTCTATGGATCTCTGTGAGTCTATGGGTCTCTGTTTAAGTCTATGGGTCTCTGCGTGAGTCGATGGGTCTCTGTTTGAGTCTATGGGTTTCTGTGTGAGTCTATGGGTTTCTGTGTGAGTCTATGGGTCTCTGTGTGAGTCTATGGGTCTCTGTTTGAGTCTATGGGTCTCTGTGTGAGTCTATGGGTCTCTGCGTGAGTCTATGGGTCTCTGTTTGAGTCTATGGGTCTCTGAGTCTATGGGTCTCTGTTTGAGTCCATGGATCTCTGTGAGTCTATGGGTCTCTGTTTGAGTCTATGGGTCTCTGCGTGAGTCTATGGGTCTCTGCGTGAGTCTATGGGTCTCTGTTTGAGTCTATGGGTCTCTGTGTGAGTACGTAGCCAACCGCACTAATCGGAGGTGCGGCGGGAGAGAAGGACGACAGACGAAAAGACGAAAAGCAATCCTAAAGAAAAATGAGAGTTTCAAACAAATTTATTTCGAACTAAGAGCAACACAAATAAACCACCACCACCACCAAAGCTCTCTCCGAAATGAGTGACACGGTCACCCGAGATGGAACTTCCAAACGTCGACGGCGAACGTCAGTGGCACGTCGTGACATCTGAACCGCCGCGCTGTTCGTGAAGTATGATTATCAAACACCACCCCCCCCCACCACCAAAGACAAAGATTCCCCGTATAGCCTTAACAGACCGTTGGGGCAAGTGCTGTTCGCGAGCACCTTTAAAGTCTGTCCAGCACCACGCCCGGCCGCCTTTGTCTCCCCAGTTACGGTGTTTACTACACACCGCACCAGGTACTCATTTGAGGCTGAGTCGACCTAG